TATTTATCAACCAATCAGAGCAACACATATTCACAGCATACATAATGACATCCCACGGCACTTGCCCTTTTCTATCTAATCTAAAAGGAAGGTTATAACTTTAACATAGTAAAATTACATATAATAGAACAGTTATTAAGCAAAAATTACAGTTACAATATCTAGTCTTTGTATTTGGCAAAATTAAAGACATCATTTTATCATCTATCCTATATTTGTGAGTCTAAAGTTTCATATCTAATTTATCTTTTATCATAACCAATGAAAATTATAAGTATCTAGTCTTCAACTACATCAAAGACCCCAGAAGGATATAATATTACCTAAGTAAACAGGAAATGCATTATAAGCAACTTCCAAAATTCTAGAAATGACAGAGACAGCTGGCTACCTGGACAGTTACCCAAAGTTCCTCTGTAGTGTTGGGGCATCCATCTTCAGCCAACAGACCGAGAGGTTTTTAGTTACTTTTCCCTGTGTCCTATGGAATATTTGGGAGTCTCCTCTACAAAACATCTACCTGAAGAACCATTTTGCCTTGCAAAATTCAGTGGTTACCTTCCTATGGGTCCTGCTTGCCCACTTTATATAACATATTATCAACAGTCCAGGCAAGAGCAGTTTCTTGCCCAAATGGCTATTTTTTTGCCAAGAAGATAAACTCCATATGGATTGTTTTCAATGCCCATCCTCCTCTTTGAAGTAATTGGTGCTGCCAGGAGCAGACGTGTCTCATTGTCCAGAAAAGTCTAAGTTCTTAAAACATTTTTAAATGCCATATTCTGTATGTCTTTGAAGTGTTTGATGATTACCTACCTAATTGAAATATATCTATGTGTACCTAAAAAAAACTTAACTAATATGACTATAAGTTTGATTATCATAGATGACTAGTTATTAATCTGTATTTCTCAACTATACACTACAATTTTAAATGAGTTGCACAAACAAAATACTTTAAACAAGAATAGCAATATACATACAGTATAACAAATTTAACTTTAAATTTGTATCAATAAACTAAAATCCATAGCAATGTAAAAACAAGTTGTTCTTTAAAAGTAGATTCAATAATCTACCTGTTTATCCTATCATATCTATATCATCTTCTTTAGAAAGAGATTGCATTTATAATCAACCCTCTTTAAATAAAAATAAACATTTATAAACAATATTTTGGCAATTAGGGCATAGCTTCTCATACTACTTCCTGGTGATTAAGAGCACTGGCAATCTTATGGGAATCCTGAGAAAATTAAGAATTATGATCAAGTCCTGACTGAAGTAGTCTGTGAGGTTGCATTGTCTGAGTCAGTTGCCTTGAAGCTAATCTGGATGTTGGATCATCTGGACTACAGTGTCATTGGAAAGCTTTCAGGGAGTCTTGGCTGATCAAATCATATTAGCCTAGAAGCAATCCACAGGTTCTCATCTTTTGTTGAAACAAAAGCAGAACCTTTTTTTCCAAACCAGTGTATCCTTAGACACAAAGTCAAGATAACTTTAAAATGTATATGTATTGACTTAACTCAGCAGCCTTTACAATCAAATGTCTTTCTGCAGTTAAAAATCCCAAAGACAATATAATCCGGACTCTATGTGTGATTTCCATCTTTATGTAGCTTATTTTTTATATTACTTTTATTGTCTCTTTAAATACTTTATTTTTTAAAACTATCTCTTTATATAACTGCATATATTCCTTTTTCTCTCTCTTCCAAGCCTATGTACATTTTTACACTGTAAACCATTTAGAGATGTATTCCATCTGAATCTGCCTTATTCTGAATCTATAATCCTTTTCTGACCAAGAGAGATTTTAAATTGCTAAACTGCATGTTTGGAACTGAAAAAGCAGCCTTGGCTGCTGACTCTGCCCATTTCAGCTTTTCAACATGGCGGAGGTAATTCACCTCTAGCTCTGGGAGCCATGCTCTGGGAGACAGTGGGTCCATGCCTCCATCAAAGCAGCATGTAGCCCAGAAACCATTTTTGTCTGTACTAACAAAAGCTAAATCCACCATGCAGCATACTGCATGGCTTGGAAACACCTCTGGATACTGTGTCAGGAATCCATCGTGCTGCAGGTCAAGGGCACATGCAAACCTGCCATACCGTAGCTCATGGCTTGCCTGAGAGACACAGCTAGGAAGCTGTTTTTAGTTTTATTTTAGAATTTTTTTTAAAGCTTTCTCAGGTTTTAGGTGGAAACTCTTGCTCCACACTGGGCAGCCAAATGTAGTTGGAAGTTTCTCTGTGTCCTAGCTGGCTGGCAGTAAGGACAAATCTCTCCCACTCACATGCCTCAAGTAAACACACAGGGGTTTATATTAATTATAACTGCTCGGCCATTAGCTCGGGCTTATTACTGACTAGATCTTACGTTTAAATTAACCCATAATTCTTATCTATGTTTAGCCATGTGGCTTGGTACCTTTTCTCAGTTCTACTTTGTAATCTTGCTTCCTCTGTGTCTGGCTGGCAACTCCTGACTCGGCCCTTCCTCTTCCCAGATTCTCTTCATCTGCTCGACCACCTATACTTCCTGCCTAGCTACTGGCCATCAGCATTTTATTTATTGAGCAACACATATTCACAGCATACAGAGCAACATTCCCACAGCAAATGCCATTACTCTCACCCTGCTCATCTTGGCCTCCTATCTCTTCATTATTGTTGCCATTCTGAAGATCCAATTCACTCAACCACCTCAACATACTTCTCACATCTTATCTCTGTGACTTTGTTCTATGGTTCTATTCTCTACATCTACTCTTGCACAAGTTCTAGCCACTCCCTGGATAGGGACAAAATGTCTACCTTTTATATGTTTTATTTCTCATGTTGACCCATGATCTATAGTCTGAGGAATAAAGATGTGAAGGAAGCACTGAGAAAGCTCTCAGGTTAGTTCATTCTGAAGTCTCAGTTAACACATGCTTTGCAAACCAGGACTAAGTGACAACAAACTCCTTGGGGGCATGATAAAGGAATTGAGAATATAGAGATAAAATTTCCATTATTTGAAACTCAACAGAAAATGTTTCATTAGTGTACATGTTTTCTTTAGTAGTGTCACAATTTTATCATTTATAATATTATGGATTTTATTGTTATATCTTCATATATATATATATATAAAATTATACATAAGGTACTTTTCTCTCATTAACTTTGTATTAATTGTTGAGTAATTGAACTTCAGTCAACTATTGACTATCAACTTATATTATTAATGCAATTTTCAAACACAAAACTTTAATTGGATGTGAAATAAGAAAACCTATATTACTTGATTTTTGGATTGATGTCTAATTTATTCTCCCTCCTAGTACTTATCCTGTTCTTGTCCTTGCACAATGGGTATTGTAGATATGTAAAGGAAAAACATTATGAATTATTAGTATATGTACAACAATCTGCATTTTCTAATAGTTGGATACTGGTAGGGATTCCTCATTGAACAAAAATATATATAATGTCAAAATTGGTTTTAGGGAAGGAAGACGACAATTATGTATGAGAGAAATACTACAGATAAAAGGAAAGATGGGAAACTTTGAGCTAGTTCACCTACTGTAGTGTCTGCCACTATTGGCTATATTTAAATTTTACTGAATATATAAATGTGCTCATTTTATCAATTGTAATAATAAAATTTAATCTCTGATAGAGAAACCCCTTTTTTAATCTCTGATCTAGAAACTTAATTAATAACTAAACCTGCCATGCACTAAATTTTGAAGTATAGTCTTTTTAATTGGCTGTTAGATTAATACTAGTGTTGTGTCTAGAGCATTGTTTTATTTATCTGAACACATAGGTAGAATTGGCCTGAAAAGGTAGCAGAGGATTTATTTCAAGGTATTGTCCCACACTATCCTAAAACACTATCTGTTGGGATTCTAAGAAAGTAAATCACTAGATAACATGTTGATTGATCTACCGCATTTATTAATGGAATTTAGATATGGTGGGGATTATAGCAAGTCCTTAAAGGACACTAAAGCAGCAGCTTTTTTTACCCTGTGGTATCCATCCACTAGAAGCTTAAGACGCTGAGTTCATATGTAGGTGTACAGCAGTTGGCTCAGAGCCAGTGGTACCAACTATTTGATCCTCCAGGGTTTCCTGAAGCAACATAAACAGCTTTGTTAGGGCTGGAAATGTGCTGAGAATTCCCTAGCTTGTCCCTAAGAGACGAACAGGCAACTGCTGGATCTGGGCAGATACAAGCTGAATGAACTTTTTTTTTTTTTTTTTTTAAATCTTAAAGATGTAAGTTGTTCCCTCCAATTGAGCTATTTTAGTATGTGACCTGAGAGAGGGTCTTGTCAAGTACCTACTCTCCCTAGGAGACTATACACTAATTAGGGAAATACACACCCAGAAGGACTCATATTTTTCCATAGATTTATAAAGAGTTTTATTGCTATTTTTAGCTGCATCTCATAAGCTTCACAACTCTTAAATTCTTTGTCTAATACTACATTGATATAAAAGATATGTAGTTTACAAAGAGTGCTTCTACACACTCCATTTATACGTCTTTAAGTAATTTATTGGAGGTAGCACTGTACTAAAGGAAAATCCTGTAGTCATGCCTACACACCCAAGAATCTCAGCAGTCTGAATCTTCTTTTCAGGGAGCAACAATGGCTTGACAAATTTAAAATTAGACTGTTTCCTTTGAAACTGCAATTTCTTTTCTCTTAAATAATTTCAGAATTAACCAATAAAATGAATTTTATGAAAAATTAAGAGACAAAATGTAATATTGAAGAGCATTAAATTCTCAAGTATAAACTATAAGTATTTAAATGAATCATATTACACACATAGTATGAAAATAATAATAAATAAAAGTCATTTGCTCAACATTTCATTATCTAGAGGATCACTTGTTGAATTTAAGTGAAATGCATAAATTGTGAGCACAGTAAAAATGGGCTACTTCAAGAATGAATACATCAGCAGGTCTTAACAAAAAGGGATAATCTTCATGCATGTGGTCGTATTGTCTGTATTGCTTTCCTGAAGGCATCTTTGACATCTTTGTTTCTCAGGCTGTAGATGAGAGGGTTGAGCAATGGGTTGACTACAGTGTAGAAAAGGGCTGCCACTTTGTCCTTTTCCAGAGAGTAGGTTGAACTAGGCCTTGAATACATGAAGAGCAAGGAGCCATAGAATAGCATGACAGAGACCAGGTGAGAGGCACAGGTGGAGAATGCCTTGCGTCTTCCTGAGGCTGAGCGGATCCTCAAGATAGCCAGGAGGATGTTGAAATAGGAAATGAGGATGGCAAGAATGCTGGAGAGCACAGTGAAGCCCACCACACCCAGAAGGACCTTTTCATAGACACGGGTATCTGTACAGGACATTTTTACCAATGGTGGTGCATCACAGAAAAAATGATCAATAATATTTTTACCACAGAAAGTTAGCCGGAAGGTGTTAGCAGTATGGGCTATGGCATTCAAAAATCCTCCTATGTAACAGCCAGCCACCAGCCCAGTACAGAGAGAAGTGGACATGATGCTTGAATAAAGCAATGGGCTACAAATTGCTGAATGTCTGTCATAGGCCATGGCTGCCAGCAGGTAGCACTCAGTGTAGGCTACAACACAGGAAAAGAATAGTTGAGCCCCACAGCCAGCCAAGGAAATTCGTTTGTCTTCTGAGACACAAGTGGCCAATATCTTTGGGGTATATACAGAAGTATACCAGAAATCCAAAAATGACAGATTGCCGATGAAAAAGTACATAGGTGTATGTAGTCTAGAATCAATACGGATTAAGACAACTAGCATCATGTTCCCCGACAGTGTCAACAAGTAGATGGTTAGAAATATTCCAAATAGAATCAGCTGCCAGCGGGGGTTTGCTGAGAAGCCCACCAGGATGAATTCAGTCAGGATGGTTCGATTGTCCACCTCCATGTCCACAGAGGAGAACCTGGTCATCAATAAACATTGAGTTGTGATAGCAAGCATATTAGTAGTTCAGAAATTATTAGGAAGCATAATAGATTTTATTTACCATGTTGAATTATAGAACTTTAGTCAGTGACATTAAAAGATCATTGCAATTGTAGTATGAATGACTTTAAAATTAGGGAATCTATATAGCAGCTTTAATACAGGGCATGAAATAGATAAGAGAAATAGCTTATAGAATGTTCAATAAACAACTGGCATCCTTTCTGATAATATAAACATGAAAATGTCCAGAAGAAAGTTTGGTCAGTAGTCACCACTCATAAAAACTGAAGTATGGTGAGCTGGATATGCTGCCACATGCCTATACACAGATGACTGAGACAAGAGGATCTAAATTCAGGTTAATCTTAAGCTTTCATAGTATCTCCAACAGAAAATTCACACACACACACACACACACACACACACACACACACACACACACACTTAGTGTTCTTCCATAATTAATTGAGAATTTATGTGTCAAGAATTAAAAATTCATATACATTATCCCTTCTGCTATGTGACAATCTGAAAGAAGACACACATATGGATCTTATAGCAGGTTCTACATTGAACTTAATGATTAATTTAATTTACATAATTCTCATCAACTTTGCATAGGTCAAGTGGCATTTCATACTTTGTGATGTAATTGATAAAACTTAACTGTAGAATGTAAGTGACCAGTCACACAGCTAAGTAATCAACAAAACAGATATTTTAAGCCTTAAATCAGCTTACCGAAGAGTGTGTGCTGAGGAACTAGCTGAGACTTAGAAACATAAAAAAATTCAGTATGCTACTGTGTCATAGACTATAGACATCTGTAATAACTATTTCAAACATTGTAAAAAATATTTTGAACATTCTCCCATCAAAGAGTAATTAATGGGGATAGTGAAATGGCTCATTAGGTGAAGGATCTTGCAGCCAAGATTGATAACCTGAGTTTGATCCTCAGGACTCATATGGTCCTCCTATGGAGAGACATGATTCTTTTCAAAGTTGTCCTTTGACCTCGACATTTTACACACACACACACACACACACACACACACACACACACACACACACACACACGTAAAAGAAATCTAAATAAAATAAAAAGAAAACATGAATGCTTGAGGATATGGCATTGTTATATTTAATCCAATTATAATATTCTGCACTATATTTAAATATCAGTGCTACATAAATTTTTCACAGTTTTTATTGAGTTTTTTGGGGGTGTCAGTAAAAATTAACTTGAATTTGAAATATGGGAAAGGAATTAACAAAGGAAGGCAGGAAGACAGGCAGGCCAGAAAGCAGGATAGGAAGAAGGATGGCAATATGGGGAGATGCAAAGAAGGAAGAAAGGAAAGAAGGAAAAGGAAGGAAGGAAGGGAGGAAGGAAGAAAGGGAGAGAGGAATGGAAGGGCAAAATGGACGAGGGAGGTGGGAAGGAGGGAGGGAAGGAAGTCATGCTCTCAGAGATTCTAATGTGTCTTGTAATGATTATTTATTTCACCCATGTTCCTGTAAATTTCCTCCATGGATATTGTAAAGTTGTAATCCTTTTATAAACTAAAACCACTTACTATTCACTTTATTTCAGTTGATGTGAGATTCAGAAGCATTTGTCAGGCATTTTCTTATATAGTAGATACTAAACTCCAGGAAGAACTTTTTATTTTATTATTTGCTTGTAATACATTGAGGAACTATGAACCAAGAAGTTAGAAAGCTGCTCTCACAAAAATTCTAAGAATTCTCTAAAACACAACCAAATTCAGAACCACACTTAAGAGAGGATTTTATCTTTAGCTGTTAATGTTGAGTGGTAGTCTAGAAACTAACAGGTAGGTGTTGCTGATGGATTTCAATGTTCAAAACACTCATCGTTGGGCAAAGCCAGTCACTATTGTCACTGGAAGGATGCACTCAAGACCTTTGGTTTTATTTGTCCTCTTCATGCTAAGGAGGCAAGGCACTTGGTAGTTTTCACTAAGCATAGAATTTAATGGATGCACCGTGGCCAGTGCATCTTAAAGATGTAAAGCCAGTCTACGTCTCTCACTACTGCTATACCCTGCATCATTCCATTAGCACATAGGGTGCAAGCACTTTAATTTCACCCTTGAAGGTCTGAAAGCAGGCCGTACCTTACCTTGAGAACATCTCTGTCCCTGGTCCTTTGTTATTTAGGAAGCAAACATATTTGATATTCACACTTGATTTATCCATAATGTATAACATGGCGTATATGTTCCACAGTGCCTGGTTGTCTTTGTCTTGCTCTCATACCGTGGATTTGCTGTTCTGGCCATTCCCTAATTATAGGACTTTATCTTCTAACACTTTCCATAACCTCCAATTCTGCTTCAACCTTGTTCTTTCCCTTTCTCAAACATGACATTCATGTGCAGTTTCAAAGAATTTTTAACAGTGCATTCCCTGTCCCTGTTATACTAATTGATGGTCATTTTCATGGTTAATATACCAATCTCTTTGAATGCCTTCAAAATGTCTTTTTCTGACTATGGTCCATCATTAATCACTTAAAAATAGCCTTCCTACCTCCTATCAATAGTTGTCACCCTTATAACTCTACTGAGCTCCTGCTCTGTTATCACTGTGTTGAAATATTATATACCAATTCTTATCAGTTTCTAATCAATCCAATGTCTGTTTCTCTCCACTAAAACACAACTTCCATGGAGCAAAAATATTTCTCTGCTAATTGCTGCTATACTGTGGTATTGAGAACATTCTATGGGGTAAATAAATAAATAAATACATAATCATATTTCTTGAACTTATATTTCCTAAATGATTACATATTTCTAACAGACTTGAAATATTTAGATCCAAAATTCAGAGGAGTATTACCATTAAATGTCTGACAACAAAAATCTGTCCTCAAGAGTGGCATACTTTATTACAGCAAGAAGGAAGACTAAGTGAAAACTCATTCCCAGAATATCAAATCCATTCTGAATTTGAGATAAATTGTTGATTAGACATGGTTATAAAAATACAACCCACAGAAAATGTCAGAACTAGTCATGATACATCACACAGGCAGAATGGCTTTATAGAAATGTGTTGCCTGTGTATCTGCCTTGTTCTAAGTTGCTTCAATGGAGAAAGAAAACAAACTGTTGAAGTATATCTCTCTGGCATCTGAAAATCAGTTCTAAGAAGGGGAAGAAACACATGCCACAGATTGAAATGCATAGAGTATTGCAAACAATGCAGCTGAAAGCAACTCACACAATCTAATGTTTAATTGCTTAATTAAATAAATGCTGCTTCAGGTCAGATATTATATATGTATTCTAATTGTGTATGAACAAATAGAATATTAAGTAAAATGTGCATGCTTGCATGTCTCTCTGTGTGTATGTGTGTGTTATCTGTATTCATATTTAGCATAGCAGTGACCTTTGGGTGGCTAAGCCAGACTCTATATAATATTCTCCTGTTTATTGTAGCTGAGGTCCCAGAATAAGAAAACTACTTAGGTGTCTCTCATTCCAGCTACTTACCCTTTGTCTCCAATGTCAGTTCTTGGAAGTGACACAATTTTCTTTCTTTTGGTCTTTTGGTGTGTCTTTCTTTGACCTAATATATTTATTTCCTCAATTGCCCATTGAGGGCAATTACTTCTACATAGGAACCAGAAACAGATTACTTCTACATAGTAACCAGAAATATATACTTGATTCTCCAAAGACACAATTAGAGTTCACTTAGAATTTGGGGATAATGTATCAATTAAGGTATAATCAAAGGAGTAGGGCTTTGTTCAGAGTTGAGCATATGCAACTAAGTCACAATATAAGCATAAAATATCTGATGATAGAACTTTTCCAAATTATACTACTCAGAGTTTTCTAGACTATATTCTTGTTCCAGTATTTTTCATTGTCATAGTCTTTCCTTTGTGTACAGACTACCATCCCTCTCTAGTTTTAGAAAGTGACTCATGTCTACCCTAGTTAATATTTTGAAGCCTTGATTTTCAGTGCCTCAGATTGTAAGTTATTCTGAGATAGGGCCTGTAGAGTGGTGGTTAAGATAAAAGGAGATAGTGAGTGGACTCTCACTCAAAGATCTGATATACAAAGAGACATGAGTAAACAGAGAGATTCCTGTGAACATTGAATAGAGGAGTCATCTTCAAGGCAAGCAGGGAGCCCTCAGGAGAAACCAGCTCTGCCTTCCCCTTGGACTTGGTCTTTAAGTCTTCAGAACTCTGAAAAAATAAATGCTTGTTTAGTCTGCCTAGTGTGTCGTCTTTCCTTATGGAATTCCTTACAAATTAATATGGTTGACTGTCTATACTAAAGATTTTTATGGTGGAAAATGCCATGCTCTATATGCAAAAGTTATCTCAAATTAGTAATGTGATATCTTACAATGAATTTTCTCTCAATTTAATTAATTTATAAAAAAACAGAATAAAGAAGCATATTATGTGTGTTTAGAGTTGAGAGAGGGAGAGAGACACAGAGAAAGAGACAGAGAGAGACTGAGAGAAAGAGAGAGATACACACAGAAAGAATATCAGCAAAAACAAAATGTGCTCTTTAGATTTGAGTAGTAACTGAAGAAACTGGAAAGTGAAAGGGGACTGTTGCATGGTGGGGGAGCTATAGAGAGGGGAATAGTGCAAATGATCTATATGAAGGAGGAAGCTGACAAAAGGTGGGAGCTTTATTAGGGAAGGGAAAGGGAGATTAAAAACAGAAGAAAGAAGGAGAGTAAAATATTAGTAGGGATGTCTGAAAAAGTTATAAGGAATTCTGCTATTGAATATCTTCCTGAAACACATAATACATGTAGGTCTGTCTCTGTAAATACATATTCATGTATAGTTTAAAAGAAATGTTTCTATCTGGGCTGGCAATGCTCTCCCCTGGAGCTGCAGACACCATGGACTTCAGACACAGGACACAAAAGGACCAAGATCTGATCCAAAAGCCTCTTCTCTGAAGACTAGCTTTCATTGTACCAGAAGATGCCATATAAGCTTCCAGAGGTGGGAATCAACCAGTAGTTCTATCCTGCTTTGAAGCACGTGAACCAAAACAACAAGCAGCATAGCACAATAACCCAAGGATACAAATAAGGCATGCATAACTTTACGGTAACCAACAGCTCTCGAATTGAGCTTAAAGTCATCTCAATAAGAGGGAAACTATGGCTGGTACTGGAAAAGTTGCCAACTTAGTGAAGTCTTGAGTCTTTAAGGAGAACACACAATCACCATTTTCCTATACCAGTATATTCTATAACTGCATTCTAAATGTTTATCCTTACACCACAGATATAGTTCTCACCCCTCACCAAGGAAATTTCTATTTGTAACAGACAGAGACCATTACAGAAAACCACAACTCATCAAAATTCAACGTTGTGAAGTCCAGTCTCCACCTGATACATCTCCAACTGGTGAATCAATGGCACAAATCCTGTACCCAGAAGCTCAGGGATCCTTGAGAAAGAAGCATAAAGAATTGTAAGAGCCAGAGGATTAGAGACTTTGCTGTGAGACTGTGTCTTCCAGTAATATCAGAAGCTACAGACACAAAGTCTCATCAACTTGTCTAAATATGAACTGAACAAGGATGACAACAATAGACATGCTAAGGTGAGCAGGTGGAAGATCATGAGGCCTCAACCTTACATAAAGAATTACAGGTAGCTAAGAAATGCTGAGAGTAGAGAAATAGTATTCCCAAGGAAAGAACACACAAGTTGGTTATCTAATACCAAATGGTCAGTCTCGAAAGTAGCATACAGACTGAACAGGTTGCACTTACGTATTTAAGTTTATCTATCTATCTATCTATCTATCTATCTATCTATCTATCTATCTATCTATCTATGAGTAATCAATGAAAAAAGAAGCCATGGATTTGAAAAGAGCAAGGATGGTATATGGGAGAGTTTAAAGCTAGGAAAAGGAAGGGGTGACATGATGTAATTATATTATGATCAAAAGGAATAAAAGAAATGATTAAAGCCGCAAAATTTAAAGTTGAATAAGTTGAACTGGTGTTATTTTTAATGAGATAATTCAAGTCCCCAAAGACAAAGTCCATTATTTTTGTCATGTATGAAGCCTGGCTTTAAAGCTTTTGTGTGTTTAATCTAGAACAGGTATGAAAGTCAGAAAACTAGAAAGGGGCTTTGATGGGATATGTTAAGGGAGTGATGGAAAATTATAGGTAAAACAGAAGTAGTGCAGTAGACTGCTGGTGGTAGAAAGGCTTAATCAGAAAGGGAGTGAGAGTGTTGGGAAAGCAGGTGTAAAGGGGAAGGCTAATTCAGAGTAAGGAGATAAGAACAAGTCATATTGACTATTATCTCAGAACTCAACTTAAGATGTGGGAGATAATCACATATATGTGAAATGAAATAAGAATGAAGGACTACTGAGGGTTAGAGAATTAAGTGGATGTGGGGTTGAGGAAATGTTAAAGAAGAAGAGGTAATGATTAGGTTTATCAAAACTAAGGATTTCTGGAAAAAGCCTTATAGAAACACACTAGGTAATAAGCTAATTTCAACAAGGTATTTGAATAAAACTACCCAGCATAGGTGGACAATGCTACACACAGTTACTTGGGTTAATTAAATGAAAACCACAGTATAAAGAACTGAATACTCCCTATGACTAATTGGTCAAGGAGGCCCCAGTGGTTTCCAATGTATCACAGACTATTTCTATCACTCCTGGTTATCTTCAATAACCACATAGTAAGATCCTGTTGCAAAAGACCGCCATAGACTTTGGCTGAAAGACATAGAAAAATAATTCTCAAACAGATTGAGAAAGCTATTACATTCTGGCTAGCTTTGATAGAGCCATAATGTGCAATGCATGCTACCGGGAGAGAAAAAACATCAGTGATCTTAGCTAGCAATGGACCTTGGCTACTGAAAAACTGACCTTTCAGGAAAGATATTCAATACATCTGCAATATAGATACAGCTCTTATGAAGTAACTCATTTATGTTCTGATTTGCCTTTACAATCGTTCCGCAGGAGCGGGTTTTATACTTGATACTGAAATCCATACCTTTCAATTTCTAGAAAATAATTAACACTTTAAAGAAAGTGGCAAGATAGAAAATTAACCTATAACAATCAGTAGCCTTTGTACACACAAAAAACAAATGTTGAGGAAAAAGTAGAAACATTCTCACTCACAGCAGTCTAAAAAATATCTAGAAATAAGTTGGACAAAGGACATAAAAGACCTCTCTCCCTCTCCCTCTCCCTCTCCCTCTCCCTCTCCCTCTCCCTCTCTCTCTCTCTCTCTCTCTCTCTCTCTCTCTCTCTCTCTCTCTCTCTCTCTCACACACACACACACACACACACACACACACACCATCAATCTTCAAAAGGATAGCTATCAGGCAAGAGAGAACTCTAGAGTCTGGAGGTGTAGGTTAAGAAATTAAACTTTGAGCTTGGATTTCCCTGTGTTTTTCCAATAATCAAATCTCCTTGGTTTTCATGAGAACATAGCTGCATGTGTTTCTATAATGGTAAACATCTGGGAGGGAGTGAAAAATCCAGTAGATTGTCTCAACACATCCAAACACAGATATCCTGTGCTTTTCAGCCAGATGCTTCCTCCTGTCCAAATTCAACTTGGGAATCGTTTGCCCCAAGCCCTAATGGAAGCCATGGATGGTGTGCCAGGCCATGGATAGGGCTACTCTGTACACAGGGCTACCCTGTATGCACTGTGCGGATGGTACTGCCCCAAGCCTGATTGCTAAGAACCTGGAAGATGCTGAAGACTTTTACAGCAACCCACTAGGTGGTTTGAAGCATCCTAAATTTAGTAATTGGAAAACAAGCTGAGACTTTGTCTGGTTTACTTAAATGGTATTTTTTTCCGATATTTTAATTTTCACAAACATATCTGTGACCAGCAATTAAAAGGAAGAACATAATTTTCCAGACAGTGCTTGTGTTTGACAAAACGCTAGGAAAGAATCCTTCCCACCATGCTTTTGGTTAAATGACAATAACATTGAATGAAAAACGGTCATTTATTATGAATGCTGATACCCAGGGGATTGTGCATTTAATTAGATAAAGGAGAAGAGATGGGGGTTCCTGTGGAGAAGCAGCATGCTTTGAGCTGAATGGGAGCCTGGGCACTTTGCGGCTTTTGCTACCAAACTCTGCTCTCCCTTCCCTGTGTGAGTGCAGCCTTACCAACCACCTTTGATGCCTGCCAACCATTGTGAGGCTAATCTTGGAACTCACACCTGGGACAAAAAGGACAAGCAAAGAGATTTTCTGCAGATAACAGAATGGGATTAAAAGAAGTGTGGATAGGAGAAGGTCCATGCAGGAAGAAAGATCTGCCTCATTAAAAAGAAAGTCTAGAAGGATAGTCCCTGGACTGCTGACAGTGCCATCTTTTGGAGGTAGGATTACCATAATCTTTTGCTTTCTAAAAGTCCATGTCTTTGTATATTTTATCTCAAGCATTCGGAACTACTATTGGAAGAGGAAGGAAGACTAGTGAGTTCTAAAAATAGATTTTTGGAAGCAGTGTATCACTTGAAAGGGAATTTACTAAGGATGCCAACAGCAATACAAAGAAAGGAGCCCCAGAAAGCGTCCCTCACCCAGCTCATACTGCCTGTGCCTGGGTGTCTGTGCAACTGGGCAGCCTGTCTTTATGGCAAGGCACTTTCTTTCTTCCTTCCTTCCTTCCTTCCTTCCTTCCTTCCTTCCTTCCTTCCTTCCTTCCTTCCTTCCTTCCTTCCTTCCTTCTGTCCTTCCTTCTTTTTTCTTCTTATTTTTTTTGAAAATATCAGTCTTTTTTTCTCTTATTCAACTTTTAAACATTTGTTTTTATTTCACATGCATTGGTGTTTTGCCTGCATGTATGTCTGTGTGAGGGTGTCAAATCCCCTAGAACTGAAGTTACAGACAGCTGTGATCTGCCATGTGGGTGTAGCCAGGGCTCTTAACTACTGAGCCATCTCTCTAGGCCCACAGGGACTTTTCACAGTCAAGTGTTTATGGGGAGATCTGAGGGTTGATGCTAGGAGTCAACAGGCATGTCATATCACATTGAGGCAGGACCAAGCTCCTCCCCCTGTATCAAGGCTGAGCAAGGCATCCCAGCATGGGGAATAGGTCCCAAAGCACCAGCTCAAGTACCAGGGACAGGTCCTGGTCCCACTACTAGG